CCTCAATAAGGAACAGCAAATGCAAAGGCTCTGAGGTGGGATCTTGTCTGATGTGTTCGAGGAACAGCAAGGAGCAAGGGGAGAGTGGTAACAGGAACATTCGATACTGTAAGACCATGTAGTCCTATGTAGGGTTTCTGTCATGGACGGAGTGATATAGGAAGCCATTGGAGAGCATCAGGAGATCTTAAGCAATGGAATAACATGATCTAAAATATTCCCCAGGGCTTTATTCTCAGCAGCATGAGTTCTGCAAGGATGACTAAGTCACAGTCCCTGTCTTTAGGGTGTATACACTCTAGATGGGGAGGTCATTGTATACACGAAAGCTATAGAAGTAGAAAGCAATACATAGAAGAACGTGGTACAAAGATGGAGTACAAAATAGGAGGACGAGGAAGGCTTCTGGAGGAGGTGATCTATGAGTCAGATACTAAAGAATGAGAAAAATGTCAAGAAGATTAGAAGGATGTATTGGTGAGGGTGCTCATTGTGGAATGGGATCAGATGGAGGCAGGTCATAGATGGCATGCTGAAAAAAAAATCTGTTTTATTCATAAGCAATAGGAACTCATGTTGCTTTGGGTGAAGAGAATAACATGATCACTGTCCAAACTTGTCTGCTGAACAAAGAGCAAGCTTGGGTCCTGAGAAACCATCTCTGGGACACAGCTGAATGAAAAGCTGGGTAGACAGTCCCATTATGGTGTTCATCCAAAGGAAGATAAAGTTGGGCAGAGTCCTGGTGTGAGGCAAAAAAGGTAGAAGCGTGGGCCATGAGACGGGAATGAGATGGTTGGGAACAGAGTAGGAGGCAGTCTGGAATGATCCCCTGAGCTACAAAGGCATAGCTGCAGGTGCTCTGTATGTGGTGCTCACAGCCTTGACGGTGAGTAGAGGTGTAACCGTTAAGGTGCTCAAACTTCTTGGACAGTTGGATCTTTGTGTTAAGAAGTGGCACTTGACAGCAGAGTGAAAGATGAGTGTGATGAGCCTCTGAGGGCTGACCTAGGAGGTAATTTTGGAGGTTGATTACAGTTGCTCAACCAAGAGATACAAAGGCCTTGCTTGAGCAGTGCTGTGGAGGAGGCAGTAGAAAGCAAGGAATGAATATGGGATTGCTTAGGTAGTTATAACAGATAAGGAGAGAGAGGAAGGCTGGAGGATGATTGTAAGGACCCAAGCCTGAGTATTTTACAGAATAATG